CCCCCCGCCCCACTGATGTGAATTCGTTGGGTATTTTGGTATCAGGTAACTTCCACATTGATTGACATCAGTAAATTATGTCAGTAGTGTCAGGGCAATCAGAAGTTTTAAGGGAGAGAACAAGTTATAGATTAAAATGCAAGGAATCCCTTAATTTAGGGTTTAGAATAGCTTGTAAATAAAATAGCTTGGAAGCTTTTGATAGAGTTTAAATTAGATTGTCTACTATTAATAAGCTTCAGCGGGAAGGTGCTCAGCTCCAGCTCCAAAAGACCACAAACCTAACTCCCCATTAAGTGCCTGTGAGTACCTCACTCTGAAAGCAGGCCTCCCGCCCACAGCTCCTCAGTTTTACTCACCCACTGCTCTGACTCTTGGTTCCGCTGCTGCTGCTGCTGCTCCCGCTCCTCTGCCACTCCTTTGGTGTCAACAGCTCTGTCTCCTGGTTTAAGGAGATTCAACTCAAAGAGTTCTCCAGGTCCCAAGCTTGGCTCTTTTCTCTTAATGGCAGTGAGCTCCTACTTCCCAGTTTCTGAGATGACTCCTTTTATACCCAACTGAGGGCAAAAATTGACCTATCTCTCAGTTCTAAGTTTTTAACAATCATAAGTAACCTTGCTAGCAATCACTCACAACGGACTCATACAATCCTACAACTATCTCCCCCTACCTTCTCTTACCCAACAGGAAAAGTCATTGGTGGCAAGTTGCAAAGACAATAGTTAGAAGAGCCATATTCAGTCACTTGCTGTGCTCCACTAAACAAAGTATTTTCTTATCCTTTGTAAAGCCAGACATTATGCCTAAAAATAAGAACTTGGGCTAAATAAAATTTGGTAGTACATCAAATTTTAGAGTGAAGACTGACCTTTTTTTTTTTTTTAGTTCATTGCTCTAAGCACAAAGCGTAAAATTAGATTGAGGAAATAAATCTCTAAAAGGGAATCCCATAAAAGTCAAGGAGGGGAAACAGCTGGAGTCTGCGACTGAAAGACAAATTAGACACTATGCTATGGCTGCTGCTTTTTAACAACTTACACCCATTCCTTCCTTCCTTCCTTCCTTCCTTCCTTCCTTCCTTCCTTCATTCGTTCGGAGAGCTAGTGCTTCTTGAGCTCCAATTGCAGACATGTGATCTGGGGAGCCTGTGACAGCTCAGAATTCTCATTCAGTAGGTCTGAGGTGAGCCTTCATCATTGAGTTGTTGCGTTTTTTTGCATTGAGCGTGTTAAAGCCCTCAGGTGATTGCTGTTTGCCACCTGACAGTGACTGGCAGTCCCCACTTTCCAAAAGAGGAGAAACATTCTGAGCACTTTCCCGATTCTGCTCTTGCTCTTGGACATTTGTGTTCAGGCTGTTGCTGTTGCTGTTTTTGTTAGGTGCTGCTGAACCACCTATCACAACCTCTGTACACCTGAAGGAGACACTGCACAGCCTGGCTGCATCCTCATAGTGGTTGTCACGTGTGAGCCTGTTGCTGCAGCCCCCGTGTCAGTCCATCTCCTTGAGTTGATCTTCCGCTTGATTTCCTAAGCATGGTGTCCTAGACTGGTCCCTCTGGTGACAAGTCCCAAAAGCTTTGGTCCATCTGCCAGTAAAGTCAGTTCTACGCTGATGAGGCAGCTTCCTCAGTCCTATTTTTAGTGGCTTTCCAACATGAGGGGGCCTGACTTTTGGCCCAAACTCAGACAAGTCTCCATTCATCGTGGTGCCTAGTTTTCTAAGTCTGTCATAGTCTGAAGGCGGTGGTCCTGCTGGCATCTGAAGGACTGGTGGACTAGCTGCCAGCATCACAGCAACACACGAGCTACCACAGCAGGACATAGTGGGACAAGCTGACCCACAAGGGTGGTCACTGTTCGCAAGAGGCGCGGTAATAACTGGAAAGGCTTTAAAAAAAAACTGTTTTATTGGCACTTCACTCACACGTCATACAATTCAATTGTTCAATCATATCGAGTAGAGTTGCACAATCTTCACCACAATCTATTTTAGAACATTTTCTTCATTATGCAGTGTCATGAGTGTACATTTTTTAATTGTGGAAGAAAATATACACGACAACATTCTGCATTTCACCACCTTCTCCATGTGCAATTCAGCGCCCTTGATTATACTCTTCGAGTTGTGCAATCATCATTGAGATCTGTTTCCAAGTTGTTCCACCACCATGAACAGACTCAGTGCCCCCAAGCAAAAGGCTCTTCCTCCTCCTCCCCTGGGGACCAGTGGTCAGGTTTGGTCTCTGTTTCTTTTCTTTCTTTTTTTTAAGTTGTTTTCTGGATATCAAATTCACCTATCGTACACTTCCATGGTTCAGTCGCTTTGGAAAAGAGTTGTAGCTGCATCATCACCATCAGTTCCAGTGCCCCACGCCCCCTCCCGCATTCATTGTCTGCCCCCCAATTCTCCTCACCTTCCCAACCCCCTACACCCTGACAAACCATTGCATTAGCTCTTATCCCTGTGAATCCACTCCTGTGTTTCATAAACCGGGCAACCTAACAGAAACAAAGCACAAGGAAACCGAAAGAAGAAAAACATACTACTATAAGGATAAGGAGCAGGAAAGACCACCAACCCTGTTTTCAAAAGGGAAAGGCGCTCTGAAATTACACGCCTTATAGCGTGTCCTTCAGGGCCCAGGGGGTACAGAGGATGATGTGCCAGGCTCCTGACCACAACGACTAAAAGCCACCGGTCCCCCCAGCAGCTCTACGCCGGCCTCTCCGCTCGGGGGCTCACAGTCAGAATCCACCAGACTGCTGGATTTTGTGATTTTGAAATACCATATATACTCGAGGATAAGCCGACCCGAATATCAGCCGAGGCACCTAATGTTACCACAAAAACTGCTTTAAAGATGTGCTGAAAAACTCGGCTTATACGTGAGTTATGTATGCTAGGTTCTATTAAAATGCTAAGACAGGAGCCCCCATCAGAAGCTTCAGACAGATTTCTTCTCTCTCAGAAACCCTAGCCAAGTGCTGGCCATCTCAAGGGTTCCTGTGGCCCTGGGGACCCCAGAGCCCCATTTGTAGGTCAGGTTGCCACCGCTCACCAGCAGGATGGTGGTGACCCTCTGCTCCCAGCACCCTCGGCTACTTGGATTGGTCAGAAGTCATCAAACGGTGGTACAGGCCAGACAGCACCCAGCCAACTTGGGTTGGCTCAAGGGGACTAGGCTCCATAGCTCTCCAGTTGTAGGCTACCCTAGAAAGGTCATGACCTGGACGAGGTCACTCAGTGTGGCTGAGACAAAACCTTCAGGAGCCGCAGCTGAGGGCCGCTGGCGGGCTACAGCCTTCCTTGGGTATGATCTCTGGAAGACCTACAAACCCAATCTGAGAAGGGTTTCTTCTTCCCTTTTTTCAGAGTTTATTTCTGCTGAAGAAGGGACCGGCCTGGGCGTTTTCCCATCCGGGACCCTGCCCACTCCCT